GAAAAGATTTCGATTTTAAACGTATTTATAACCTTGATAGAGGGCGCTGTTCGTGATCTAAGTAGAATAATTTGAATATAGAGTTTTGATATTTAATTTATGAACGGAAAAATATGTCCAGGGTAGCCTAGTGGTCATGGCATCTGCCCGGTAAGCGAAAGGTCGTGGGTTCGATTCACATCCCTTGACACTTTTTTTTATTTTATCCATTCTGACCAAAACCTATCCGTGAACTTCACACAGTGAACTTCACACAGACAGAATAAGGCAATTATATAAGTAGAAGATACCTGTAAACCACTATTTGTATGTAAAACTAAAAATGTTGACGTCAAAATAAAGATCCAAAGAGAGAGCGTTCTGCTGGTGGCAGGGACAGAGGGGAGGAAAAGCCAACGCCCAGCCCATGTGGGGGCCCCAAGGACTCTTTATAGACGACCCCTGAAAAGAAGACAGGTTTTGGCAGGGGGTCAGCAGATGTTCTGGAGGGTGGCAATCGACAGACGGCTGCTGTCTTTCACACAAACTCTCTCTCTCCATGTCTCGGTGATAAGCATCCAAGTTTGTGTCATGGCCTCTACCTCTGTCCCGTGGGCTGTTCCCGATCACTCTCTGTGCTAACATCTAGCCCTGCCTCTGCTTCTTGTTGTCCGCGTGTGGGAAGAACATCAACACTTGCCTAACGTTCACGACTGCCAGTTCATCCATACATCGACATTTGCAACAATATTACATATATATATCAAAAATAAAAATGGCATATCCTGACCAGAAGCACATGTGCTTTACAGAAGGCAGAACGCCATCTGGTGGAGCAGAAATTAACTATGCATTGATTTAGCTTGTTCCCTGATATTTGGCCAATCCAATTTCTTGATAAATCAATTGAAAATTTGATTATTTCTTTAGGTAAAATCTAAGGTATTACACCAAGTTCCCGTGGTTGAAGTGGATATCACATGTGCTTCAAGGCACAAGGTCCCCGGTTCGATCCCGGGCGGGAACCTTTTTTTTTTTTATTTTCGACCTGATTAGATAGAAAGTCTAGATGACATGATTTCGAGATTTTATAATTATTAGGTTTATAATTTTTATTGAAAATAATATTTATAATTTTATATTTCTTTTAATACCTTTATATATATATAGTATATTTTAAAACTGTATAATAATGACACTTTTAGTATATCTCACAATTAGTTAGAGCCGATGCCTTAAAATATTCTACCTTCTATTAAAATGTACACTGTTTCTATTTGCTACCACCCTCATATTTTGTATATATGCTATATCTTTATTAATAATACCTGTAAATTCCAATTTGTATGTAAAACTAAAAATATTGACGTCAAAATAAAGATCCAAAGAGGGTCTGCTGGTGGCAGGGACAGAGGGGAGGAAAAGCCAACGCTCAGCCCATGTGGGGGCCCCAGGGACTCTTCATAGACGACCCCTGAAAAGAAGACAGGTTTTGGCAGGGGGTCAGCAGATGTTCTGGAGGTTGCCCATCGACAGACGGCTGCTGTCTTTCACACACAAACTCTTTCTCTCCATGTCTCGGTGATAAGCATCCAAGTTTGTGTCATGGCCTCTACCTCTGTCCCGTGGGCTGTTCCCGATCACTCTCTGTGCTAACATCTAGCCCTGCCTCTGTGTCTTGTTGTCCGCGTGTGGGAAGAACATCAACACTTGCCTAACGTTCACGACTGCCAGTTCAACCATACATCGACATTTGCAACAATATTACATATATATATATCAAAAATAAAAATGGCATATCCTGACCAGAAGCACATGTGCTTTACAGAAGGCAGAGCGCCATCTGGTGGAACAGAAATCAACTAAACATTGATTTAGCCTGTTCCCTGATATTTGGCCAATCCAATTTCTTGATAAATCAATTAAAAATTTGACTATTTCTTTAAGTAAAATCTAAGGTATTACTCGAAGTTCCCGTGGTTGTAGCGGTTATCACATGTGCTTCAAGGCACAAGGTACCCGGTTCGATCCCGGGCGGGAACCTTTTTTTTAAATTTTCGACCTGTTTAGATAGAAAGTCTAGATGACATGATTTCGAAATTTTATAATTATTAGGTTTATAATTTTTATTGAAAATAATATTTATAATTTTGTATTTCTTTTAATACCTTTATATATATATCGTATATTTTAAAACTGTATAATAATGACACTTTTAGTATATCTCACATATCTCACAATTAGTTAGAGCCGATGCCTTAAAATATCCTACCTTCTATTAAAATGTACACTGTTTCTATTTGCTACCACCCTCATATTTTGTATATATGCTATATCTTTATTAATAATACCTGTAAACCCCTATTTGTATGTAAAACCAGAAATATTGACGTCAAAATAAAGATCCAAAGAGGGTCAGCTGGTGGCAGGGACAGAGGGGAGGAAAAGCCAACGCCCAGCCATGTGGGGCCCCCAGGGACTCTTTATAGACGACCCCTGAAAACAAGACAGGTTTTGGCAGGGGGTCGGCAGATGTTCTGGAGGTTGCCCATCGACAGACGGCTGCTGTCTTTCACACACACTCTCTCTCTCCATGTCTCGGTGATAAGCATCCAAGTTTGTGTCATGGCGTCTACCTCTGTCCCGTGGGTTGTTCCCGATCACTCTCTGTGCTAACATCTAGCCCTGCCTCTGCTTCTTGTTGTCCGCATGTGGGAAGAACATCAACACTTGCCTAACGTTCACGACTGCCAGTTCATCCATACATCGACATTTCCAACAATATTACATATATATATCAAAAATAAAAATGGCATATCCTGACCAGAAGCACATGTGCTTTACAGAAGGCAGAACGCCATCTGGTGGAGCAGAAATTAACTATGCATTGATTTAGCTTGTTCCCTGATATTTGGCCAATCCAATTTCTTGATAAATCAATTGAAAATTTGATTATTTCTTTAGGTAAAATCTAAGGTATTACACCAAGTTCCCGTGGTTGAAGTGGATATCACATGTGCTTCAAGGCACAAGGTCCCCGGTTCGATCCCGGGCGGGAACCTTTTTTTTTTTTATTTTCGACCTGATTAGATAGAAAGTCTAGATGACATGATTTCGAGATTTTATAATTATTAGGTTTATAATTTTTATTGAAAATAATATTTATAATTTTATATTTCTTTTAATACCTTTATATATATATAGTATATTTTAAAACTGTATAATAATGACACTTTTAGTATATCTCACAATTAGTTAGAGCCGATGCCTTAAAATATTCTACCTTCTATTAAAATGTACACTGTTTCTATTTGCTACCACCCTCATATTTTGTATATATGCTATATCTTTATTAATAATACCTGTAAATTCCAATTTGTATGTAAAACTAAAAATATTGACGTCAAAATAAAGATCCAAAGAGGGTCTGCTGGTGGCAGGGACAGAGGGGAGGAAAAGCCAACGCTCAGCCCATGTGGGGGCCCCAGGGACTCTTCATAGACGACCCCTGAAAAGAAGACAGGTTTTGGCAGGGGGTCAGCAGATGTTCTGGAGGTTGCCCATCGACAGACGGCTGCTGTCTTTCACACACAAACTCTTTCTCTCCATGTCTCGGTGATAAGCATCCAAGTTTGTGTCATGGCCTCTACCTCTGTCCCGTGGGCTGTTCCCGATCACTCTCTGTGCTAACATCTAGCCCTGCCTCTGTGTCTTGTTGTCCGCGTGTGGGAAGAACATCAACACTTGCCTAACGTTCACGACTGCCAGTTCAACCATACATCGACATTTGCAACAATATTACATATATATATATCAAAAATAAAAATGGCATATCCTGACCAGAAGCACATGTGCTTTACAGAAGGCAGAGCGCCATCTGGTGGAACAGAAATCAACTAAACATTGATTTAGCCTGTTCCCTGATATTTGGCCAATCCAATTTCTTGATAAATCAATTAAAAATTTGACTATTTCTTTAAGTAAAATCTAAGGTATTACTCGAAGTTCCCGTGGTTGTAGCGGTTATCACATGTGCTTCAAGGCACAAGGTACCCGGTTCGATCCCGGGCGGGAACCTTTTTTTAAATTTTCGACCTGTTTAGATAGAAAGTCTAGATGACATGATTTCGAAATTTTATAATTATTAGGTTTATAATTTTTATTGAAAATAATATTTATAATTTTGTATTTCTTTTAATACCTTTATATATATATCGTATATTTTAAAACTGTATAATAATGACACTTTTAGTATATCTCACATATCTCACAATTAGTTAGAGCCGATGCCTTAAAATATCCTACCTTCTATTAAAATGTACACTGTTTCTATTTGCTACCACCCTCATATTTTGTATATATGCTATATCTTTATTAATAATACCTGTAAACCCCTATTTGTATGTAAAACCAGAAATATTGACGTCAAAATAAAGATCCAAAGAGGGTCAGCTGGTGGCAGGGACAGAGGGGAGGAAAAGCCAACGCCCAGCCATGTGGGGCCCCCAGGGACTCTTTATAGACGACCCCTGAAAACAAGACAGGTTTTGGCAGGGGGTCGGCAGATGTTCTGGAGGTTGCCCATCGACAGACGGCTGCTGTCTTTCACACACACTCTCTCTCTCCATGTCTCGGTGATAAGCATCCAAGTTTGTGTCATGGCGTCTACCTCTGTCCCGTGGGTTGTTCCCGATCACTCTCTGTGCTAACATCTAGCCCTGCCTCTGCTTCTTGTTGTCCGCATGTGGGAAGAACATCAACACTTGCCTAACGTTCACGACTGCCAGTTCATCCATACATCGACATTTCCAACAATATTACATATATATATCAAAAATAAAAATGGCATATCCTGACCAGAAGCACATGTGCTTTACAGAAGGCAGAACGCCATCTGGTGGAACAGAAATTAACTATGCATTGATTTAGCCTGTTCCCTGATATTTGGCCAATCCAATTTCTTGATAAATCAATTGAAAATTTGATTATTTCTTTAGGTAAAATCTAAGGTATTACTCCAAGTTCCCGTGGTTGAAGTGGATATCACATGTGCTTCAAGGCACAAGGTCCCCGGTTCGATCCCGGGCGGGAACCTTTTTTTTTTAATTTTCGACCTGATTAGATAGAAAGTCTAGATGACATGATTTCGAGATTTTATAATTATTAGGTTTATAATTTTTATTGAAAATAATATTTATAATTTTGTATTTCTTTTAATACCTTTATATATATATCGTATATTTTAAAACTTAAAATTTTACACAAATAAATTTACTGGCAATGCGTTTCTTTTTTAAATCTCTACAGTAAGGTCTGTAGAGATTTAAAAAAGAAACGCATTGCCAGTAAATTTATTTGTGTAAAATTTTAACGATAGAGGGCAATAAAATTTAATTTACTAATATTTTAAAACTGTTTAATAATGACACTTTTAGTATATGTCACATATCTCCCAATTAGTTAGAGCCGATGCCTTAAAATATCCTACCTTCTATTAAAATGTACACTGTTTCTATTTGCTACCACCCTCATATTTTGTATATATGCTATATCTTTATTAATAATACCTGTAAACCCCTATTTGTATGTAAAATCAAAAATATTGACATCAAAATTAAGATCCAAAGAGAGAGCGGTCAGCTGGTGGCAGGGACAGAGGGGAAGAAAAGCCAACGCCCAGCCCATGTGGGGGCCCCAGGGACTCTTTATAGACGACCCCTGAAAACAAGACAGGTTTTGGCAGGGGGTCAGCAGATGTTCTGGAGGGTGGCAATCGACAGACGGCTGCTGTCTTTCACACAAACTCTCTCTCTCTCCATGTCTCGGTGATAAGCGTCCAAGTTTGTGTCATGGCCTCTACCTCTGTCCCGTGGGCTGTTCCCGATCACTCTCTGTGCTAACATCTAGCCCTGCCTCTGCTTCTTGTTGTCCGCGTGTGGGAAGAACATCAACACTTGCCTCACGTTCACGACTGCCAGTTCATCCATACATCGACATTTGCAACAATATTACATATATATTGTTGCACCAAGTTGCGGCTTGGCAGACTCTTCAGCCTTGATTCTCTCCTGTGCTGGGTCTTGCATCTTACCAGAGCGTGTTTCAACCATCCTACAACTTTGTAAAAGGGAATAACGAGATAAGTCTTCTTTAAGTAGCCTCCAGAATCCTTTTTTTTATTTTCTCACATCAAAGAGAGCGGTGAAGTCACACGTGTACCTAAATACAAATGATGATAATCTAAATAATCTGTTTTAAATAAATATCATAGAATATAAAAATAAATAAATATATAATTTAAATTTCAAATATATTAAAAATAATATAAGAAATACGCCATTAATCATGATGTAACACTTCCCCCTCTCCAGAGGTCGTCACGTCCTCGTGAGTTACCTCATCAATTCTCTCAAAATAGGGTTTGAGTCTTGAGACATGGACAATCAATGGGTCTTGGCCAGGATTATCTTTCGGCTCAATTAAGTAATTTACGTTAGACAGCTTCTTTAATATTCGATATGGGCCAAAATATTTTCTCAATAGTTTTTCACATTTTCCGATTTTCCTGACTGGTGTCCAAACTGCCACTAAATGTCCTGGTTCATAGATTCTCTCGTTGTGTTTTTTGTCATAGTTTCTCTTCATTCTTTCCAGAGTCTTCTCTGTGTTGTTAATGACTACCTGTCTCGTCCTTGCTATTTTATCTAAGTAATTTTCTATATATTCGTCATAATCGTTCATGTTACTGTCAATTGGGATATTATCGTCGTCTAAGAGGGACATGGGTTCCCTCCCAAATAACAGGAAAAATGGAGAGTAGCCTGTGGTTTCTTGAATCGTGGTATTGTACGCGTGGGTGACGAAAGGGAGGATTTCGTCCCAGTTCTTCTGGTCTGTATTTACATACATGCTTATCATGTTGATTAGAGTTCTATTTAGCCGTTCCGTTAGTCCGTTAGTCTGGGGATGGTAGCTCGTCGTGAAGCAGTGTTTAACTTTGCACATTTTCATAACCTCCTTCATCAAATTGATAGTGAACTGTGAACCTCTGTCACTAATAAGAAACCTTGGGGCCCAGTGACGTAAAAAAAAATGTTCGATTAAAAATGTAGAGACTTCTTTCACTGTTGCTTCTGAGACTGCCTTTGTTTCAGCGTACCTGGTATAATAATCAGTCAACACAATTATCCACTTCCTTCTTCTTTTCGTTGATGGCAAGGGACCAACAAAGTCAATCCCGATCCTTTCAAAAGGGTAGTTAGCTGGGGGAATGGGTTGCAAAAGTCCAGAGGGCGACTGATTCGAACCTTTCCGACTTTGGCAAAGATGGCACGTCTTTACAAATTCTGAAACATCTTTCAGCATGGAAGGCCAATGATATTTATTCTTCAAACGGTATGTGGTTCTGGCGACGCCTAGATGGCCATTCAGCATATGGTTGTGGAATTCACTCATGATTTCTTTCCTTCTCTTCTTCGGCACTACCAGCAACCATGCTCTGCCTTCAGGGTTTGGGTTCTTCTTATATAGACATCCATTTTCCTCTTTAAAATTCTGTGTGATTGCTCGTTTGCTTCCTTTAAGGCTTTTCTTAACATTTTCTATGAATTCATCCTCTTCATTTATTATCTGATTCAAAAATAGTCGTTCATAATCTTCGACCCAATCCGTTTCAGGTAGGGGTCCTCTAGATAAGCCATCAACATCCATATGTTTTTTACCCGATTTGTGTATTATGTCAAAATCGTATTCCTGAATTTTCAGTGCCCACCTTGCAAGTCTACCTGTTGGATCTTTAAGATTTTTCAGCCAGCACAATGCGTGATGGTCTGTAATTATCTTGAAGTGTCTTCCATATAGGTAGGGTCGTAGTTTTGATATCGCCCACACCACAGCCAAACATTCCTTTTCGGTGGTTGAGTAATTTTGCTCAGCTTTACTTAGAGTTCGACTCAAATATGATATCACCTTCTCTTCCCCACAGATAATTTGGACCAGTGTTGCACCTAAGCCGATGTTAGAGGCGTCTGTGTGAATGTAGGTGGCTGCATTTGGATCAAAGTGACCTAAAATTGGCGGATTTATCAGAGCTTTTTTAAGGTTTTGAAATGCTTCCTCTTGTTTTTCTGTCCAGGTAAATTGCGCATTTTTCCTGATGAGTCCTGTCAATGGGTCAGCAATTAATGAGAAATCTTTAATGAATTTTCTATAATAGGAACACATTCCTAGGAACGATTGTACTTCTTTGACCTTCTTGGGCTGAGGAAAATCCCTAACGGCTTTGATATTATATTCGGCCGGTTTTATACCCTGTTGGTTGGTTATATGACCAAGGATCTCAAGTTCTTCAAAAGCAAATCTGCATTTCTTGTCGTTCAGTTTCAAATTAGATTCACTAAAACATTTTAAGACAGTTTCAAGTCTTTTAAGGTGGGTTGGAAAGTCTGAGCTGTATATAATCACGTCGTCCAGATAACAAAGGCAAATCTGCCATCTAAGATTTCCAAGCACATTGTCCATATTCCTCTCGAAAGTAGCAGGGGCATTGCATAGTCCAAAGGGCATGACGTTGAATTCATATAATCCGTGGGTCGAAGTGAAAACTGTCTTCTCCTTGTCTTTCTCTTCAATTTCGACTTGCCAATAATTCGATCTAAAGTCTATTGCTGAGAAGTACTTCGATTCTTGGAGAGTATCCATTACGTCATCAATTCTTGGGATTGGATAAACATCCTTTACTGTTACCTCATTCAATTTTCTATAGTCTACACAAAATCTGAACTTACCATCTCTCTTCTTGACCAGTATTACAGGGAAAGACCAGGGACTTGAAGATGGTCTAATTATGCCTTCTTTGAGCATTTCATCAATTTGATCTTTATAATGTCCCGTTCTTTGGGGCTCACCCTATATGGCTTGTGCTTTATCGGTTTTGCATCTTCTGTATCGATCCGGTGTTTTGCCAAATTGGTCCTGCCTAACCTCGGCGAAAACAAATCAGCATACTTAATCAAAATTTGTTTCAAATCCTCTTGTTCTTTAGGTGATAGATTTTTGTTTATCTGAAATTGGATTTCGTCATTATTAATTTGCTCTAACTTCTCTATGAACTTTACCTCTGCAGGAAGGCTTCCATGAGCCAATGTTTGGTCTTTCATGATTTTTAAAGGTCGAGGATAAGGGTTCGTTATCCAGATATGAGTTTTCCTATCCGTGACAGTTAGCAAACTTCTTGCCAATCGAAGGCCATTTGTTTGAATCATTCTGTTGTTCTCTTCGATGACATATTCGCCATCCTTTGCTTCTATTGAGGCCTTAATTAATCTAATAGACAGTTCAGGTATAACAGTATCTTCAACGCTTTTTATTTTTTCAGTTCATAATTGCTTATGTCATGATTATTCGTCAGATCGTATTTTATTATTTCTTTTTTGCAATCTATTTTCGCGTTCATTTTCTTAAGGAAATCTCTTCCAAAAATTAATGTCCGTAAATGCGTTTTCAAAATCACAAATTTGTGCGATAATGCTTTGTCATCAATTTTTATATTTAACAATATACTTCCTACTATGTCTAATTTTTTTCCATCGGGTCCTGCACAAGTTTTTGCGAGTTTACTTATACCATGGCCTGTATCGAGGGCCGTTCTGAGGTCGACCACTGAGAGGTCAGCGCCTGTATCAACCAAAGCTTCAAAAGTTCCTATCTTGTCCACATGAATTTTTAATTTGTATTTAGGGTCCAACTTTTTGATTCCATTTATGGTCGACTTGCTTTGATTGACATATTCAGGCGCGACGCTTAGTTTAAATCTTCCAACACGGAATATCTATTCCGGGTAGGAATATTTGTCTGTGTGCTATGACATACATCAGCATAAAGCCGAGGTCCTGATTTATCTGATATTTCATTCATTTGGCATTTCTCTTCGATCTTCTCTTGGGTAGCTGTTAGATCCTCTTCTAGGATTCTTATAAACTTGACCCTACAATAACGGGCCACGTGCCCTGGCTTGTTACACTTGAAGCAGATTGGTCTTCCATCTTCCGTCCTATTTTTGCTCACTTCTTGACTTTTATTGTAGGTGTTTCTCT